AGGAGCATTTGAGCCAGTTATGAGATGTATATGAACCAGCAGAACAACTTTGAAGATCGAATGGATTCATGAAGCTGTATCTAAAGTATGCTAATATAGTAATACTGCCGTTATGGAAGATGTAAAGTAGCCATCTACTTTTGGAGAAGCATATAATTGTACTGCATGGAGCCAAACGATGGAAGAAAAGGTTTTAAGCCTTGAAGGAGAAGTGGACTTGTGAATTGGTTTCGAAGCCCAGGGATGTTAAAACCATCTCTTGCAAATGAGTTTACAAGGTCAAGTCAACCGAATAAATCAAATGAGAGGTACAAAGCAGACTTGATGGCTCGAGAGTTCTCTTAGAACTAAAGTCTGGATCATGATGAAATCTTCAGTTCAATTGCCAAAATAACAATAATTCGAGTTCTTATTAACTCTAGCAACAAGCAAGAGTTGGAAGCTCTAGCAGATAAACATGAAGAATGCCTTTCTACATGGTGAGGTGGATCAGAAGATGTAATACGGAGCAATGCATGAGATATAAGAGCAAAGAGAAGTCAAAATATGTCTGCGGGCCAAAAGAATCTCTCTATAGACCAAGCAAGCCTCAAGAGCATGATACGAAAAGATCGGCGAGTTCCTGATTTAAAGTGGCTACGTTGTTGCTTCTGTAGATTCTAGTTTATTTGTCAAAAAAGACGGGACAAACTAGAAGTTGTTCCGATTTATGTAGATGACTTAATAATTACTGGAGATGGTGAAGCAGAAATCCAAAGAAGGACAAATCTCTTGATTCAAATTAAGGATCTTGATGAGCTCAAGCATTTTTCTCATATTGGAGATCAATCGAAGAAAGGATTGATTATTCAAAAGGATTGATTATTCTTTTGTCAAGAAAAGAATGCGAAGCACTAGTTGCTTTAATATTGGATGTTCAAATGTTAGCCACTCTCAATGTTGATGGAGACCAACCTGAGGTTGTGTGCGCATGAAGTAAAGGATTTGGAAGATCCAACGATGTATCAATAACTATTTGTGAGTTTGATCGACAATGCGTAGACCGGTGTTTTCAAAGGCACGCGCCTCACTACGCCTCATGCGCCTTACGATGCGGAGCGGTGGCGAAGCGCCTCACTTCTGATGCAGCAACGCCTTGTGTGCCTCGCGTACATCCTTACTTTGTGCATGGTGCATGTAGTACATATCCTCATATAGTTTTGTTTGTTAACATTTCAATCGAGTCTTTATACTTGATATTCCATATTTTAAAAAGCAAAATAAATCCATTAGGCCTTTTTAGTAGCCTTCAATTGAGGACCATTACTAATCCTTTGGATATTAGTCTTGATTTAACATTTGATTTGAAAATTTATGAATTTTGCTACTATGTTGGGTGTTAGCATTAGAAAGTAAGACATTATAATGTGATTTTGTAGTAAGATATTATATATCATGACATTTTTCATGTGAATTCTAAAAACATGTTCTTTTGCGCTTGATTATATAATTTAAAAAATTATGTGGGCGATGTGCGCCTCGCATCACTCGGGCGCGCGCATCGCGTTACGCCTTACGCATGTGCACGTAAAGATGCTTTGTGCCCTCGCGCATTGATAACACTGGCGTAGACTAAATATCACATTTATGGTTAGTGTGGGAGCCGATACATGCAGAAGTCAAAGAAACCTTACATGGAAGCAGTTCTAAGAATTCTAAGATATGTCAAAGTGACACTCAATTATGGTTTTTTATATGAGAAATGTGAAGATTGTGAGGTTTATGGCTATTTTGATGCTAACTATGTTGGATATCACGATGCTTGGAGGTCTACTAGTAGATACATCTTTAATCTTAGGTCAATGACTATATCTTGGTGCATCAAAACACAGTCAATGTTATCACTGTCGACTACAGAGTTTCAATTAGAAGCAATGATAGCTCAAGAAAGCACATGGGTTTTTCAGTTGATGGAGTATCTACATCAACCTATAGAATACTCAGGAGCTTTGCATTGCGATAATCAATCTGATTGGTGAGAATCTCGTTTTTCATACAAGAACAAAACATATCAAAGTAAATCATCACTTTCTACAAGAGAAGGTTCTTCAGGATGAGATCATAATGAACTGATCGGGATGAACAATCAAGGAGGTGACATATTCACCAAAGCGCTGAGTTATTCAAAATTTGCAGAATATAGAAATCAACTTCGGCTCGTGAATAGAGAAGTCGTTACTGAGGGGGAGTATTGAAATTGTCACTGAGGGGAGTATTGAAAATTGTCAGAACGTGACTTTGCTGACCATTGACCAATTTGTAAAGGCTATTGTAGCCTAAATTTAGGGCCTATATGCATGATAAATATGGGTAGCTCATGATCCCACCTTATCCCGAGAGAGAGAGAGAGAGAGAGAGAGAGAGGGGGGGGGGGGCGAGCTTGTGGCATTTGTAGTAGTGTTATGGGTATTTTAATAGTGAGAGCATGAAGAGTGCATAGTGTTATAAATTGCAAATCATTTTTGTGTACATCTACTTTTATTCTACAAACCACAATGTGCTCAGGTTAACAAAAGTGCAAAGCCCGAGAGTGCTTCAGCACAACAATTAATTATACAGGACCTACTGTTGATAGGGAAATATCGATCAAGATGGAATACATTATCTGAAAGGTTGTTGACTAGCATAATGGAGTGAACCTTTATGCACCTTTACAGAGAGAAGCTATGAACACCTTCGTGTGAACTGTGACAAGGTGTTTTTACTGGGGAAAGTCATTCTTTACTTTGGAATTTTGTTTATGCAATATATTAGTGCAACAAATGACAATATTAAAATGAGTTAGTGCTTGTGTTTCTAAAGGTTTTCTCATGTAGGCATGCGTTGCAAGCTATTTATAATTCATTTCTGCTGATGCAAGTGTCCAAAAATCAGCAACATGATCTTTCTGATTAGAAATTGAAAATGTAAGTTCAGATTGTCAACTACCATTTCTCTGAGGCTCTCTCAAACTCAGTCTTCCTTGTAGAACCTAGCTGCAGTATTTTGCTGGATTTAGTTGAAAAATGTATAGATCCCTGCGCTTTTGAGTTCTGAAATTAGCTATCCATTTGTACTGGTTTGTTTGTTTGTTTGTTTTTGTTTTTTGTGGCTTTTTTTTCCTCTGACACACCTGTCTTTGTAGGCAAGGAAGATGCTAAGGTGAACTGGTTTCTTCTTTTTTTCTGCTGCCAAATGAATTGGGGCATTATTGTTTTCTGGTTGTTAAATTTGATAAAGCCTGTATCTTTGTTATGAGAATGTGCCTTGTTTAGATCAGCATTTATATCTTTCCTTCGCTTAATTGTTTGTATATTCTATCTGTAGCCTGATGTATCTTTACTTGGGAATTGTATAACGGCTCAATCTATTTATAAGGTAGTTAGAAAAGCAAATTCCTAATTTACACGTTACTTTCACAGTGTATGGGTTGCACGGAATCCACCAGGTTATGCATTTATTGAGTTCAATAGCCGACGCGAGGCAGATAATGCAATTTCCGCATTAGATGGTGGGGTACAAGCACTTTTCTTGATTAAAAATCACTTATGTTTAATTTCTATGATATTTCGACTGAGTTTTTTTTGAGTATGCTCTACTCCCTACTATACAGTTGACAGCCTTAAACTGTTGTACTAAAGATAGCATCACTTTTCTTGATTAAAAATCACTTTTGTTTAATTTCTATGATATTTCTATTGAGTTTTTTGGTTGGTTCTACTCCCATCTATACAATTAGCAGCCTTATACAGTTGTGCTAAAGATAGCGTCTGCTGTCTGCTAAGAAACTAACCATTTCTTAAAGATTCTAACGGAGCTGTTGCAATTTTTGTGGTAGTGATTTCATCTGCTACTGAGGTATTCCAGTTTTTACAACCCAATTACTGCTTTAGTATGAGTTTCAATAGGTTCACAATTCCATCCATCCAAATGTCAAAGTGCAACTTATCAACGTGCAAATTAAAATTAAAGTTATGTTAATTGAAAGAGATCATTTCATCTGCATCAGCTGTATCTTTTCTTTTGCCTATCTTTATCTTCAGGTTTATCTATCATGCATTCTATTGTGATCTTTTGTTTCCATATAAATGTTAGAAGAATATGATATTCCTCTTTGTATTATTTGATGCTTACTGTTTCACAGGGTATTGTCATACATGACAGACATGTCTTTGATGGTAAAAAAAAGAAAAGTAATTCGAGTTTTGGCACAAATACAATGGAGACAACTTCTTTTGATTTAATTGATAGAGCAATTAAATGCACATACTACTTCACACTTGGGAATTTACAGATTTCTTGAGGAGAGGAAAACCATTATTAAGTGATGTAGGAAGTCTGGAAATGCTTTTATAGATCATCTCAACTGTAGCAACACGTTTTGATGATCTGGCTTTTGAGTGAAATGATTCTTGTCTGTCATTCTTGCTAAAAAGCTGAAATAGCTGGCGAATGATTACTAACTGTATGCAAACTGCTTCAGGAAGTAGTAAGAACTTATGAGGTGCCTGTGATCTGTCTATGGGTTGGATTTAGAAAGGAGATCAATCATGCATTGGAGGTGTCCAACATAGACAGTTAATAGTCATTTGGGAAGGAAGCATCACAAGACCATGGAGTCTTAGGGCGTGTTTAGCAACTCAAAAGAACTAGTTTTAGTAGATGCAAGCATGATCTAAAAACCACCTTTTAGTTTTGCAAAACTTGGGCCAAATTTGAACTAGTTTCTAGTTCAAATTCTAGCCCTTTAAACTAGTTTTCTTAGGAACCAACCAGTACCTGGACCATCTCTAGCCTAGTAAAGCAAAAACTAATCTCGGCTCAATCTTGTTTGAGAATTGCCCATAGTCTTAAATAGTGATAAGGCTCCTGCCTAGGCCAAGACAGTAATTAGGCTGCCCTCCTAGGTCTAGGGACTGCCTAGGGGAGCATGGGCCATTATGTGGACTGCAAAGCTTAGGTTGTCGTTTGATTTCTTCCGTTGCTACCTCCACGTCCTTCTACCTCCCTGGCCTCCTCCACCAACTATGAACACCTCCACCTCCAACTTTCAGCAAAATCTACTCCACCTCCAGATAAAAAAAAAAAACAAATTCCGCTAGGCCCTGCCTGACCCGCCGGTCAGCGCTTACTATACTGTTGTCAATTGCCAAACATAGCCCTTGTGTTAGAGATTTATTCCTGATCAGTCTGCTGTTGTCTACTTGTCTGTATACCACAGGCATAGGCACAGGACATGCACATGACACAACATACAAGTTATGGTAAAAAAAGTAGGATAAGGAAACACAACTAATTAAATGAGGATAGGGCCATTTTAGTTCAAGGAAAACGGGACTAAAGATTGGGTAACAGAAAGTATAACAGCTACTTAGGGGCTAAAGCACAGGGTCTTAATTTGAAGAGGCCACTTATGGTAATTTATTTTGCTTAAATATGATCTCTTGGTTATGGATGTTTCAAATGTTTATTTCCATTGCTCTGTTTTTGGATAACCATGTTTGACTGAAATAGGGACTACTATGGTCTATATGAGCTTCAAAGACTTGGTAGGCTCATTTCTTTATTTCACTTTAACTAAGGGATCCTATGTATTTGCCACTAGTAATTTCAACTGGTAGTTTAAGACCAATTTACTTCTCAGGAAAACATGGATGGCGTGTAGAAATGTCTAAAAGATCATCGGGTTTTCACAAAAGTAGGTCATCCAGCAGTGAGAGCAGATGCCGCGAATGTGGTTCAGTGAGGCATCGTACCAAAGATTGTCGGTCTGGTGCTGCAAAAAGATCATACAGGAGGAGCTCTAGTCCACACACAAGAACAGGCACTGATAGGTACAGAAAGTTAATAGATGACAGAATATTGATGATTTATTTTCTTGGAAGAACAAAATGTTTTGATAGTTTTCCTTGCATGTCGTTGAGCAGACACATATTCCCTGGACGACAGAAACGAAGTAGATCTCCTCGGCATGGTAATTCAAACAATGACAGGTATGACTATGGAGTTGTGCTGACCTTCCTCTCTCATTTCACATTTTTCTACTCCTCTTTTTACTAGAAAAATCAGTAAAAATTGAGAATTGTCAGTGGGAACAAATTACAATGCTTGGACCATGTGGATCATGAGATTGCTGCTATTTTATCCCTTTATACAATCAGAGAAAAGGGGCAAATTTCACTTACTCCTATGAATTTGGGATATTTGCACAAACCCCCATGAACTTTATAAATTATTTTACGATGTATGACAGAAGGTGCAGTGATTCACCTTTTATTCCTTTGACATGTATAAGATCAGGTGCAACTTTGTCCATCCAAGTCAGAGCATCTATGAATCACTGTATGTAAATATATATGAGATGTAACAAAATTGTGAAGGGACACAATTAATTTTTGAAAGAAGTGATCAGTGGACCTCTCTTTTCCATGGCCATAGCCCGTGGGCCCCAAGAAAACATCAGAGTAGCATTACTACAACTTAGTTGATAAAAGGATGTGGCAAACACCCAGCATATACTTAAAAAAAGATAGTGCTTGCATGCATGCATACTGGTGTGTATGTGCATGTGTGTTGAAATGTTGAGATAAGAAGTGGCAGACATAGGAACAATTACCTTGTTAACTGATTAATATCTGTGTAGGTATGAGTTTGGGTATTCATTTGTGATGGTTGACTGAAATCTTGATCCCAGCTGTGCCAACCATCAGCAATATTTACCTTTTGGACTCATTATCACTGATTGATCTGTTCAGAGTTGAGCTAATTTATTTTCTGGAATCCAGCTCTTACCAGTGGTTTTGTTGATCCTCCTTCCTGAATTATTTCATTACAGATTTTTTTCTCTTTTATGTCGATAATGAGCTACTTAAACCTAGTGGTTGCAGTTAAACCAAATCAACTTAGAATTGTGTATTATTTAGAAAATGAAAGATTTTTTTGTTATAGATTTGTAGGAATATCTAAGCATTAACAATTGGATAACATATGATCTTGAAGTTTAAGATTCCATAAGTTGCTGTTATGTCACACGCTAATAGTAGCTTTTTTGACAGATGTGATTTACCAAGAAAGCGCGAACGCAGCATATCTTCTGAACCAGTCTGTATTGGATTTTCTCAAAATGATCAAGAAAACTCACATGCAGATCAGTAAGCCAAAGAAAAATTTAATAACTTGTTTTTGATCCAAAGCCTGCTTTATTTTCATTTTATTTTCTTTCTTGTATTAAATGGTGATGTGATACAGTAGAAAATATGGTTCTTACTAGAGCAGATAAGAAACTTTCTTTGTTTTTGTTTTCTATCAACTATCACACAAACATTTAGAAAATATGGTTCTTACTAGAGCAGATAAGAAACTTTCTTTGTTTTTGTTTTCTATCAACTATCACACAAACATTGAGGCTAGCATCTGGATATACGGTGTAATAAGTTTTTTCTTGGCTATTTTTTTATTAGAAGCTTTCTTTCTTCCTTCTACACAGATCAGATATTCCTCGGCTTTTATTTATTTATTAGAAGCTTTGTTTCTTCCTTATACACAGATCAGATGTACTGAAACAGCATGAGGGCAATACATCTCCTGAGCAATATCATAGAAGATCTCCAAATGATGAAGACGGTTCTGCTGATGAGTACGTGCTTGTGTTTCTATTTATTTTACTTGACACTGGCAACATTAAAATTTGTTCTCGGTATTCTTTTATCAGTTTTATGTGGACTGACATGGTCATAGAAAACATATTTACTTCGCGTAACATCAGCTTAAAGTTTGCCTTATTAATTTTTTCATCAAGGATCCTTTAAATATTGTATCTCGTTCACAAACGTAATACTGAATGTCAAGATCAACAATATATTTTGTATTGTACATCAGAAATCGAAGTTTTGTTTAACGAATTGAACAGATGCAATGTGCTAAAAAAGCGTGAGAGCAGATCTCCAGAAGATTATCCCAGTAAATCTCCTCAAAATGGTCAGGGCACTTCTCAAGTTGATGATCGCGATGCACCAAGACAGCATGACCACAACACTTCTCCAGAAAGTTATAGAAGCAGATCTCAAACTGATCAGGACAGTTCTGAAGATGAGTATGTCCCTGAGTTACTACTATTTACTTTCTTTTGACCTATGTTGTCATGTTAATGTAGGAGGATCCCGCCCGAGCAACAGTCTTAATTTATCGTGCTTGTTTACATGGATCTTAGAAGAATCAGATCTTGCTTTTGGCATAATACTGAACCTCAAGGTTCAATAAAGTTTTAATTACTGTTACATTAGAAAATCTAACTTCTACCTGTTTAACAGATGTAATGTTCCGAGAAAGCGTGAGCGTAAAAGATCACCAGAACAATACCCAGACAGATCTGAAAGTGACCGGGATATTTCTCATGCTGATGAGTATGTACTTCAGTTTGTCTAGTTTCTTGAATTTAATTGAATGGCTGCTTTAACAAACCATACACCACAACTATTTATGACAGCATTTATCCAGCATCAGCAGCAAATTGTAAATTGACCTTCATATGACTATCATCTATTTATTTACAGCACAAGTAGTATTTATTTACGTAACACTATCATTTAACCGAGAACTTGATTCATCATCACAAAAGATTGGGGGAAAAAATTTGCACCACGTATTGTATCAGTAGTAGTGCAGTTGGATATTATAACGCATCTTTAGATTACTAACAAGAGCAAAATCTAAACCCTTTATCCCATAATTTTGGGGTTTGCTTTGTGAATCAAATTTCTCCATCCAGTTCCGTTAAGGGCAGTCATAACTTAACCCCACGTGATTTATTATGATTTTTGGATGGTTAGTGGTTTATACTCATTGTTGTTTACATGTGTTTAACCAGAAAGAGGGAGAACAACATATCTCCAGTACATGAGAGCAGTATATCTCCAGAGCCTGATGTTGGCACATCACCGCAAAATAATCAGGATGGTTCTTGTGCAGATGAGTATGTCCTCTTTCTCTTTAATTGTTTTTTCAATCTTTACTGCAACAATATTTTGCTCAACAGATTGAGCCCTGAAAATGTAGAACATTTCAGCAGTAGATCTCCTCTTCGTGATAGCAGCCCTGAATACTAATTGGTATGCTCATACTCCTTCCCTTTTACCCAGTCAAATCTCATTTAGTGCAATTATAATGCAGAATAGCGGCTGTAGCTAATTAGCCATTAGTTATAAATAACCTGCATTTGAAGAAGTAATGAAGTTCTCGAGACTTATGCTACTTACACCTAGTTTGTAGGAAAGCATGAAAGACTCTCGAGTAAGAATAATCTGGATCAATATGGGGCTCCTCGAGTTGATGCTTGGCTCTTCCTGCTTGTATCGAAATGAAGTGGTTTGATTCATCAAGCTTCTCATAGAATAGAACTACATATGCATAAACAAAAACCTTCTCTGTACATATACTTGCTGCTAAAACCCACATTATTTGAGGTCTATTTGATTCAAGTGAACCGAGGTGATGGTGCTCCTCTGAAAAAATGTCACTTCAACCAAACCAAGCTAATTAGACGAAGACTCATTGGCGATTCACCCGCACTTTGTTAGTGGACCTAAACCAATGTTTCTTCTGTTATTGGAAATGATCCTCGAGCTGACCATTGTAAGCATGGAAGTGATTGTCAATAATTTATTGGAAGAAAAATAGGCATGCTTTGTTCCTCAGGCTGTATGCATTCTACTACCGGAGGAGATATTATTCATTATTGTGAGTGTAATGCCTCTTTAATTATCTGTGACTATCCCTGTAGCTGCATCTACCTAGAGGATATCCTTGTTGTAGAGTGACACTTGCAAATTTATCGCCTTTTTCTGTCGAGTATGTTTTTAGATTTTGTTATATAAGGTTGTCCAATATGTTTTTCGCGCACGATATACTGGCATTTGGTGAGAAGTTTCTGGCGTAAGTAGAGTGAATCTCTGTATTTTTATTGCATGTGCAGTAGGGATAGAAAAGGCTGGAATCCAATCTGGTGTTGGTATTTGTATTCATTTAAAAATTTCAAATTCGAAGAATTCAAATATCATTCTTTGAACTTCTTTGAATCAAATATAAATACTTTTTGAATATTTACGAATATTTATTGAAGGTGGCAATACGTTTTATCTGACCAATAATTTGTATTTATGGTATGTAATTAAAAAATATTTTTATTTAGTTAAAGAAAATTGGTTTAAAAACTGAAATAAGGCTCTTTAAGCTTGTTAGAAATAGTATTAGACTTAAATTGCAAAATATAAATGGGTCAAAAACATTACATTACATTACGCATGTAATAAAACAAAGTACAAGGAGCGAAATTCTAAACGAATATTTGATAATCAAATTAATTGGAATACATTAAATTCTATTCCTTTATAAATTGAATATTAAAACTAATAGTTATAACCAAAGTTAGACATACAATTAATGAATTAGTTGTTTAATTTTTTTTGGTTCATTCCCACCCCTAATGTGCAGTGCTATTACGTGTGAGCAAATTGCATTCTGGATGATTTCTGATTCTTGTTTATGCAAATCTTGCTTTGTTGCATGGCTTCTATATAGAAGTATTCAACCTTCTCATTTGCATCCGAAGTCAGGTTAATGGTTTAGGACAATGTCACCTTTTAGTTTTTCTCAACATCTCAAATGGAGATATCCTTTATAGGCATGACCACCAACTAATGACTCACCGCTAAATTACTAAATTGGTATATTTTCAAACTTGACTTTTTGCCAGCTTGCTTGTTTTTTTTTCACTCCGGTGATTTTTTTTGGTATTAAAGGTCCATCCAATATGCAATTAGGCTTTCTTCATCGTTGATGATAAAAAATTGAATTGTAAATTGTGCATGACCTCTCGTGATTAAATTTGAGAGAGATTAAAACGTTGATGTGACTGTGTTCAAATGACGTGGTTCATATTTGGTGGGAGTTCAACTAACCTTATATTGGACAAATTCTTGCCAATTTTTCCCCTTGTTAGTAGATGACATGATTTTCTTTATTCACCTGCGATTTTAGAGGTCTATCATTGCAATATAGGTTGCACCTAATCAAATTTTCCTTAATGTTCATCTCTTTCTACAATCCTAAATTTAAATTAATCCTTACTTTTTGTTCTAAAATTTGAATATAATATCCAATTTAAGAGCCAAATTACTTTTGTCACGTCTACATGCAGGGCCGGCCTTGGGGTAAGCCTACCAAACCCCGGGGCTGGGGCAATCCAAGGTCCGGGGGCAACCCATCGGTCATCGCTCCTTCACCCCGCTGGCTCACTCCTATTGATCGGTGGGTACGAGAAGCACGGACGGCGTGATCAGGCGATGTGGGCTGTTTAGGGCTATGTTGATCTGCGGCTTCAAGGCGGATGAGGCTACGACCGTCACGGTGCTGTATGCTGTGGCGCAGTTGGGATTGTTAGAGTCGGGGGAAGTGGGTGCATTCTTATGTTGAGAGAATCATAGGAGGAATATTGGGTTTAGTGTGAGAGCAGGCACGACGTTGGTTGATACGTGTTATAAGTGTGACAGCTTGGAAGATGCGTGCTTGGTGTTTGATAAAATGCCTAAGAAGGATGTTGTTGCTTGGAATTTTGATGATTGCTGGCCACGCAATGCGTGGACACAGCCATGAGGCGTTCGAGCTGTTTTATAAGCTGAGAAATACTAAGCACAAGTCGACAAATATAACATTCATCGGAGTTCTTAATGCTTATAGCCATGCCGGCCTGGTTCATAAAGGGTGAGAATTGTTTAACTTAATGCAAAATGAATACAAAATCGAGCCTAAGATTGAGCATTACAGATGCATGGTCGACCTCCTCGGACGTGCATAATTAGTTTATTAGGCATATCAACTCGTCCAAAAAAATGAGAATAAAGCCGGATTTGGTCGTGTGGAGATATTTGTTAGCCTCTTGTAGGCTTCACAAGAAAATGGATCTCGGAGGGAGGATTGCTAATTTCTTGCTTAGCAACGGTCAAACCGATTCAGGAACATATACCCTTTTATCTAATATTTACGCAGCAGTAGGAAACTGGAGCGAGGTGAACAGAGTGAGAGCTCTGATGAGGGAGAATGGAGTGTAGAAAGAGCATGGGTGTAGCTCGATTGAGGTTGGCTATAAAATGCATGAGTTCGTTGTGAGCGACATGAGACATCCTAGGAGCGAAGAGATTTACTCTATGTTGGATGAGTTGAATGATTTGCTTAAGGCGCATGGTTATAAGCCACATGCTGAATTGGTGTTGCATGATTTGGAGGAAGCAAAGAAAGTTATTCTTGATTGTACGCTGAATTTAAGCCATGAGGAACGACTGAATAGATTGATAATGATATCAATTGAAAATGAATACTTGAAGAAACTTGAGTGTGATGACTTGATTTAAGAATTCGCTTCAAAAAATTCAAAGAGAAGTATTTTTTTTTTGAATTAAATTGTAGCAAAAATGTAATCTATTCTTATATGAATATTGATTTTGCAAAAGAATATTATCAGTTTGAGTCCAATATAGAATGCTAAATGATATTATACATATTCATTTTTATCGTTATTGTTCGAACCAAAATTTTAATATAAGGGGCAACCAAAATTTGATTGGGATAGGACAACCCAAACCTCGGGGCCGGTCCTGTCTACATGTTCGTGCAACCTCAGCAATTATAAATTAAAATAAAATGATGTGTAGGCTCTTGACAAAGTTTTCTCCAAATTATCATCGACGGTAAAAAACCGTACCTGATTACATATGAGGTTGATTTCTAATACTAACAAGTCTGTCTGAGAAATTAAGAATACCAAACTGATAAGTTGGACCGGCGGTGCTACAAGAAATGCCTACTTGATAACTTTTAGCTAATGACACGTCATGCTCATCCCGCAAGCTTTGTGGACTCTTATGATATGACACATGTCCCCATCTACTCGTGGTGCCACGTCAGCATCAGCGGAGGGTTGGAGGCGCGTACCAACGACTCGACGGCTTGGGTCCTTTCAGCCCCCTCGTATTATAGCCCATCGCTTTACGGAGCGTTTAAATGCGGCCTTCCACCTTCCGTGAAATCCCCTTCCGGGAATAGTTAAAAAACTTCCTCGGTGGAAGTGGTGTGAGAAGGAGTCCCTTGATTGCGATTTGGTTCCGAAATTCCAATCGCGGGGGTGGAAGTGGGGCTGCTTTACTTATCCTTAAACCGACCTCTCTTTATCAACGATCCTAGACTTGGATGATCAATATTAATTAGGCGGAAAAGAATTGTGAAAAGTCTTTATAGATTTTTAAGACTTTATTTTTTTTTTAATTTTTTGATTGATAGAGTGGATTCTAAGTCTTATTATTATTTTTAATTTTTTGGTTGCAGCTTGGTAAAACAGTTGGTAGGTCCCAGAACAAGGAGGAGCACACGCATGTTTATCTTCCAGTGAGGACTTGGGAGGGGCGAAGTGCGTGCATTAATTGCTGGTAGCGCAAGATTATTGACACCTCTACTAGAGCTAGAGGCAACGCATGCAGTGCACTGATAAAACAGAACTCAAAAGTCAAGGACAGAGACCTAAAAAGACAGAGAATGAGGTGAACGAACACTTAAAAGTTAATTAAAAGGACCAGGCATTTGATTATTGAGCCAATAAGACCTTGTATTTGATCCAAGCGAGTCCGTGCACGTACACAACGCGGATACGAAATTGCTTTTCCAACCATTTTTGCTCATTTTTCTGGGAATTTGTCAAATCACACGCTTTTGGAAGTTTTGGCCTTTTGAAAGGTGCGGATGATCAAATGCAGATGTTTTTCTGGGAATTTGTCAAATCACACGCTTTTGGAAGTTTTTGGCCATTTGAAAGGTGTAGACGATCACATGCAAATGTCAAATATTCCACTGCTTTAAGCACTGAACTTGATGAGGCTTGGAAGTAAAAAATAGCTGCATCATCAGTGGCATTGATGGAGTGATGTCAACAAATTCTCCCAACAAACTTTAATGTTTGGGAGAAATATGGAAAGAACCTTGTATTTCAAGTAATCCTGACTGGACTTGGATTGTGGACAGAATTTGATTGGACAAAAAAAAAAAAAAATCAATTACAACTAAACTTAAACTCTAATTAGAAGAGAGTTCAAATTGATAATTCAAGTCAAAGAAGAAGTCCTACATGAATTCAAGAGAGGAGAAAACCCTTTAAATACTTCCTCTTGAGAGGTTCATTGTAAATTAAGCCATAGGAAAGCAAAGGACAGTTGCATGTTTCAAGAGAGAAGTAGAGAGAACTAAGAGTTTCTTGTAGAATCTATCTTAGATCACTAGAATAAATTATCTTGTAATCTCTATAATGCAGGAAGACTCAATTATCTTTTGTTGGACGTAGGCGATAGCTGAACCCATTAATTTCTTATCTTTATCTCTTGATCTATTCTTTTGCGACAATTGCTTTTCTCTTTTGTTCAAAGTAATATTTTCTTGAAATTTCCACATATTCGGTGATCGATTAGTCTATGAAGAAGGAAAATATCCAGTTGAGAGGTTCAGTGATGCTTCGCAGGCTATGCTCTCACACAGATTATCAGTTAGTGCGCAACGATCAATGTCACATTGCAGGTGGCCTGTGCCAACAATTGATATTAGAGTTGAATTTTATTTAGATCATACTTGTCTTTGAAGAAATGTTTGATCTTTGCAGCATGAAATCAGAAAGTTCTTCAGCAATGAAGACCGAGATTGAAAAGTTTGATGGTAAGAAAGATTTTGGGCTTTGGCAAAAAAAAGAGTAGAGGCGGTCTCGATCCAACATGGCCTAGATCAAGCTTAGCTAGAGGTGTACAAGAAGCCAGAAAAGATAACAAGTGATGAGTGGAATAGGAGGGACTGGAAGGCGCAGAGTATGA